TTTTTTTTTTTTATTTTTTGGTGGCAGAATTAATTTATTGCCATATGAACAAAAAAAGACATGAAGACAATATTGTGGACTTAGTATGAGGTTTTACATTTTACAACATTTTAGGTTTTAAATGTTCTATTGTCCTGAATGTGGGTTTGTAAAGGATATTTATCTGGATAATTTGTTTAACAGTTTTCTTTTCTTCATGATATTAATGCTCTGCCCGCTGTGGTTTATTTCACCCTTCTTTTAGTCTAACTATCTGAATGTTTTTGGGCTGAAGGGTCTGCAGGTGGAAGGTTAGTTTAATGACAGCTCGTGTGTTTGTGTGCTTTGATGCAGATCTGTTTCTTTGCATGACGATCACTGCACGTTCACTGCTCTTTCTCATTCCTTTTTTTTTTTTTTTTTGGCTGCTTGCAGTTGTTTAAATCCCAGTGGCCCGTATGAAGAGTTTTACTCCATGTTTGAAGGCATTTTATTTCAGGCTTGTGATGCTCTGCATGGATTTGCTTGATTGTTTGGCTCCCAACACATCTCTGATAGTTTTACCTGATTGTGTTTCTGCAGGACGTCCCACTGAATGGCCATTGACCAATCAGCAGTCGGGGAGCGTGGCCTGTCAAGAGCGGTGTTCAGGCAGAGGTTCAGCCTGCAGTGAAAACTCCTCCCACTGCAGCTGTTAAAACGGTTGAATCTTAACGTTATGGTTTTCTCGCCCTTTTAATTTGCATTCTTAATTTATTACTCTTTTGAGGTACGCTGATGCCGTTCAGAAGTATTTGCACATATACAGCAAGCTCCTAACCGTGTAAAAGGGAATGTTTTTTAATAGCGGAAGAGATTTTCTCCTGTAAATAATTTCAGCTTTAGTTTTATACTGGTTTTAGACAGTCTCATGTTCACTGCCGGTCTCGTGTTATCCTGCTCAAGATCTAACGTTTTGATGTAAATGAGTGGTACATGTTCATTAAATGAGCTCATGGTTTAATGTAGCAGACTGTTTTTCAAGTAAATGTATAAACCCTCACAAGACTGTCTCTGCTTTCATGGTTAACTGGTTTGAATTGTACTGGACTCATCAGCATTAGAATTTATATAAATGCTAAACTGTAAATGCAAGACTTCAACTTTAGTCAGATTTAAACTAGCAAAATGAGTGGAGGAACTTAAATCTTATTTTAGCAAAGTTTCTTAACTCAATTTTTCATTTACAAAACCTACTGCGTTCATACTATTAAAGTTTTTATTAGTAATCCTATTAAATTTGCCAACTAAAACATTCTTTATTGGACATCTCATGGAATAAACAAATCAAGGCTGAATGTGAATGATGCATTTTTACAATGACATCAATATCATACAGCACTCAATCATTTACTGTATATTACTTTATAATAAATTACACATTTAACTAAGACAAAACTAAGTGTTGTCATGCATGAACAAAACGAATATAAAAGACATGAACCAGCCTCATGTTTTAATTTTTTAAAACTATTAGCTATTGCTTACTATTAATTGTGCATGTTTGGTTTTGTAAAAGTTTGTTAATTTATACATTTTGAAACAAAATGTATTTGTAAATGTTTACGAAGCATGACCGTATTAAAGTAGTTTATTTTTAATGTTAGCTATAATTAATGATGTTTAAGCAAAGGACCCTATAGTTTATTTTCCAGCACATTTAAAATATATAATTTTAGTGACATTAACATTTTTAATATTTCATATATATATATAATTTGAAACAAAAATGTTTTTCAGCACAAGTGTTAGTATCCATTCAAAAAGTCAGACCACTTTCATGTTTACTCCCTTACAGTTTATTATGGTTATAAGACAAATATATGGCAACTGGGACATAGAAAGTTTTCATACAAAACGGCTATGGCATACATTTGTAACATGTTTTAATTATATACATGTAACTACAAACATTTATTTTGACAGTTTTCATCAGCTGCTGAAGTCGAAGCCAGAATCACTGAAACTGATTCATTGAGCTGAAGTTTCCCTTTGATTCAGATCTCTGAATCAGCGTTTAAGTACTGAGCTCTGACCAGAGCGGGATGTGTGCGTCTAGCGCTGAACGTGCCGGACGAAGGCTTGGACCAGCTGGATGAAGGGCTCCTGGCCCTCCGGCGTGGCCTTGGATCCTGGTGTGGGTGGTTTGGTTTGCGGTGAGGGAAGCAGCCCGCTGGCTGGGGAGGAAGGGGAACCTCGCCGGAAAAAACGGAATAATGTCGACAACAATGTACTCTGAAAGAAAACACAAAAAACAAGATGGAATGGATTGAATTGACTAGAAACATATATTTAGGTGAATCTCAAACAAATAGGTTAAAAAGTGATTAAGGTCATATTTCACCCTAAAATCAAAAGGGCTTTTTTTTTTTTCATAAAAAAAATGAAATGGAAAAAAAAAAAAAGGATACCAATGGTCTTACAGCAATGAAAATAACTCAAAATAAATAATGTAAAACAAAAAGGAATCTGTGATTATGGAATAAAATAAAAAAGACAGGAATTTGTGGGGGGATCACAACAAAACAAAACAACAAAATAAGAAATAGCATAAATAAATCATGATTGGCAATAAAGTTAATTTGATTAAATAATAATTTAATATATAAGTTTTTTTCTATCCTGCTGAAAAACTCACCAGCTCTGAGCTGAGCTCCTGTTTAAGTCTCTGTTTGTCTCTGGGCAAAACTGAAGGATCCTTCAGACAGCGAACAGCCTGAGAGATCAACACATAGAAGCAGTTCTCCATCGAGAACATCAGCAAAGACCTGAAAGCACAGAGAAAGAGCATGAGACGACATCGAGCTCAAACCCACACCGCACTGTAAACATCACAGGAGTGTTTCTGCTCACTTCAGTGCTTGAGTGTCCTCAGAGACCACAACCGGCTCCTTCCTCTTCTCAATCTACAAACACAACAACACAATCAGCATATAAACAAACAACATTCATTACACCAGAAGAGCTGAAAGCGCTGCACTACCTCTCCCAGCATGCTCAGCGTCACATTAATGGTGGCCATGAGAGTCCCAAACGACGGAGCCACATCAGAGTCAAAGGCAGGAGTGGTGAAACTCAACACAAACAGCGTCCTGTACTCCGCAAGATCCATAGACTAAACACACACACAGAGAAAAAAAGATGTCATTTAAAGCTCCAACCATGAAAGCTGAGTGTTTCCAGTGATTTGATGTGACGTGTGAATGTATGTACTAGGCTTGCTGCGATAGGTGCTGACGGTCATACTGGTGTTAAGCCGCAACACCGGTTACGTCACTTGCCCACCGCGACACCGACCCCCACCATCGGTTTGATTTTTTTTATAGTAATACAAATAATTTAGTTCAGTAAAAGAACAGACTATATTACTTGTATACATGTAAAAAGTATACATGTTTACTTGTTTCCAGTTTATTCATTTAAACTTTATGTAAGTTATTTGTTATTTTATATTAGGCATAGCTTGCCCTATAGCATGGTGTATTTTTATTTGTTTAGTTAATAAAAGTTCTATGTTTTATATATAGGCTAAAGTGAGTTTGACGTTGTATTTTGTTGTTGCATTCAAGCAATTGAC